CAGGAAAGGATAGGAGAAACCCTATGGACGAATAGAAACAGTAAACACGGAAGAAATGAGGAAAGGGCTGTTGCATCGTAGGGGCTGCAATCAGTGTCATGAAACACAATGTATATGTACTGTTGGATGGAAAACCAACTGCTCTGTAAACCTTCACCCAAATCACAATAAAAAAAAAAAAGAAAGAAACAGTAAATATTAGCTATTATTCCTTCTGTTCATGCTAAGGTGCTGCCGGGCTTTGAGCACAGTTAGTCCCCAGGTGTCTTTAAGTCAAATTTGTAGGTAAGCTGGAACAGGTGTATATAGCTTTTATTTTAGTGTAAGAAAATGCTCAAAGCCTTTTCAATGATTTAAAAGCTACACGTACAGCAAGTGAAAGGGATTGTGATGAAGAGTCTGTTGCGAGTAGGTGTTCCTGGTATGATGCTGTGGAATCAACACTGGACTCTAACCATGGGAGTCCTGGTGTGGCGCTGTGGGTTAATGTACCAGACTGTAAAGTCTTTTGAATCGCAAGGTCAGTGGTTTGAGCTCACCAGTTGCTCCTTGGAAACCCTATACAGGGTCACTATGGGTCAGACTCGACTCGACGTTACTTAACAACAACAACAACAACACCATCATGAGAGGAGAGTGGTGGCTCCAAACGATAAGCACTGGATTGTGAACCACAAGGTCTGCAGTTCGAGCCCACCAGCTGCTCTGTGGGAGAAAGATGAGGCTTTCTATTCCCATGAAGATTTAAAGCCTCAGAAATCCAATACAGGGTGGCTATGAATTGGAACTGACTCGATGGGACTGACCACCAACAATAACAACATGATGATTGTGAGCACTCATTATTGTCCAGGACTTTAGTCTGCTGGGCATTTCTCTGCTCTGTTGACTTTTCTTTTTACTTTGCAGTCAGTTCATTTTCATCCACCTGCTAGTGTTCAGTTTTAATTAGGTATCTACTATGTGCCAGACATGTGGTTTCCAGCGCAGTTCTTCATTGCAATGAGCTGACTTTTGTTGTCTTTAATCTACTACTAAAGAGCCATGGTGACACTGCAGGATAAGCACAGGACTGCTAACCACAAGGTTGGCAGCTCAAACCCACCAGCCACTTCTTGGGAGGCTTTCTGCTCTCATAAAGATTTACAGCCTCGGCAGCTCTCTGCAGGGTCACAGTGAGTAGGAAGTCAATGACAGTAATCTGTTACTAGCTGGAAAGCTACGTTTCCAAATTCATCAAGAGTCAGGTGCTAAAAGTAAATATGGAATGATTATGCAAATTATGGCATGCCCATAGGGCAGAATACCAAGTTGTTGACAATTATGGTAATTGTTGTTGTTGCTAAGTGCCGTAGAGACAATTCCAACCCACAGTGACCCTGTATAGGGTTTCCAAGGAGAAACTGGTGAGCTTGAAACACTGACCTTGTAGTTCAAAGGACTTTGCAGTCTGGTACATTAACCCACAGTGCCACACCAGGACTCCCATGATGGTGTGGCAGACCATAAAAGACTATAAAAATAACCTCTGAACAGGTGAGAAAAGAGATCTAACAAGATAAATGAATTGTCTGAGATCGCACTTCAAGTTGAGGGCAGAACTTGGACTACACTTCCTGATTCCAAGTCTAAAGTTCCAAGGATTTAAACGTGGTGGGTCTCACAATATGCCACATTCTCACCTACACACCCCTCTACCACACTGCCAATGAACAGAGGCCAGAATCACATTTCTTAGGAACATTAACACTTTCAAGAGCCAGGAACATCAGACACAAATTCTTGTTATAGTGCCTTGGGCACATCCTCCTTTCAAATTGCATGTAGCCAACGTGAAGGTGAGAGTCATTATGGAGTCCTGAAGTGGCGCTGTGGGTTAATGCACTGGACTGCAATGTCACTTTGAACAGCAAGGTTGGCAGTTCAAGCTCACCAGTTGCTCCTTGGAAACCCTATACAGGGTTGCTATGGGTCAGAACCGACTCAACACAACAACAACAACAACAATGTGAAGACAGGAATCATTATAGTGAGTCTATGTCATTTTTTCCCCCCATTCCTTGATTCCTTGTCTGTGCTCAAGAAAGTCTTTGGAATAGCTGTTCCATTTTTGCCATGAACTTTTTGAAGCCTCCTCATATATTCCATCACTATTGCATGTACGGAGTACTGGTGTGGCACTGTGGGTTAATGCGCTGGACTGCAAATCAGCTTTAACCACAAGGTTGGAGGTCCAAGCACAGACACATATCCCAGGCCACAGCCTGTTTCCAGTTTAAACTCTGGTTTTAAGGGGCAGTTTCTTCACAAAATTCCTGCCTAACAATGGAAGATTCCTTTCACACAAATGCCATTGTGTAGAGGAGTCAGATTTAGACGCAATTAATGAACACATCTTGTGAGTAATGCTGGTGCCCTGCTCTGCAATTACTGTTCAATGGATCTTAACCTATTGGTTTATTTCTCATAATTTAGATCTAGCTTCTGGCCTGAAGTCACTATTCTCCTAAAGAATGCCTGAATTTATAGATACGCATTAGCCCAGAATTTGTTTTTGCAGCTTTGGTTTTATGTTTGTACAAAACATAAGCTATTTGTTCATTTCTTATTGGTGAGGTGGGGGGGAAGTGTCAACATTCTGAGCTGGAGTTCAGTCCTTATGGGGGTGGAGGAAAAGTAGCCAACTGCATGTTTCAACCCCAAGCATAAGAGATCCACTGAGGTGAGAAAGTGGACTCAGCACTAGCAGGAGTCATGAAGAAAGCCTCGGAAACTAAGGCAGACCATTGGCTGCAGCTAACTGGTCCCAGAGCAGCACTGACCCCAGCGACCAGCAGAGACAAGTGCAAACACTCTCTGGAAGAAAGCATCTCTAATTTAGGTCCATAGAATCCTAAAGATTATTGTCTACAAAGTCTGAACTCACAGCCCAAAATGATGAAACACCAATGGAAACCCGTCCCTGTGAGTGGGAGAGGACAGAACAATAAACAATACTGTCCCTGCTTGGCCTTTGTGCAGAACCACCATCTCCTCCAAGGTTTGTCCCTGCCTCCTCCCTGCCCTCCAGCCTCCACATGCCACCATTGTCTTTCTAGGAATTCCCTTCTATTAAGTAAAGTCCAAATTCCTCCTTAACATGGCACAAAATACCATTCACAACCAAATTCCCATGTGCCTTTCCAGACTCATTTCCTCCTAGTTTACAGTTATCATCCAGCCAAACAGCCTCTATCCTACGCCGTGCAACAGAACAGCTCTGAATCGGCCATTTATTTTCTTGCCTCCTTGCCTCTGCACATGCTGTTCCCTCTACCTGGAATGACTTTCTTCACCTTCTTCAAAGGGTAAACACCTAATCTTTCTTCAGCGTAATGGCACCTCTCCTGTGAAGTTCCTTCTTTTGAATTTTCTTTATAATGTACCAGATGGCCACAGAAGGCAGAAACTGTAGGTCAGTAAATTTTTTAGCACTTAACTCCCTGAAGTTACTCAGGACATATTGACTGAGGCAATCGAGTAAAGAATAAATAAAGAGCTTTAGAATCTGCCATGCCTAGTTCAACCCGGTTTCTGTCACTTCTTAGCTTTATGATCTAGGGAAGCTATTAAATGTTGTAGAACCAAGGGTTACAAAATGAAATTATGAATCCTACCACTTAAAACAGAGTCCCTTAGCCTTCCTAGTCCCATGCAGACATCATTCATCAATCACTGCACTCTTCCTGCCCTGATATGTGCTCATTGTGGGGCTCAAGGCAGTCCTTGCCAAATGCCGAGCTGGCAACCTCTGTTTCCCACCTCAGTCACAGAGTAAACAAGCCATTGCAGATAAAGCACACTGTATTGCATTTGACTTGCAGACTCTCAGTGAGTGGAACCTATTAATATTTTATTTCCTCAGGCATAAGGCGGTTAGATGCACCACTGCTTTACTATGCGTTGGTGCACGGTGGAGGTGGAGAAACATTACTAAATTGAATATACTCATCATTTATAAAATGCACTCTGATATCAAATAGATTAAAATGTGGAAAAGGTGAGTCTTAGAACTGAGACAATCCAGTGAGATAGAGAATAAACTTTCAGAAGATAAGCGGGGAGTTCTTAAAGGCTTTCTGACCTGGGTATGTCTGTCTATGGCCATTGGAATGTGGGACAGATGGCAAGAGGAGGCAGTCACAGCCAGAGTTCAAGTCACAGTCCATCTGACTGAACACTGATAGACCTCAGAAGAGAAGGTGTCTGCTGCTCCCAGCCTAACTTCCAGATTAGGATGGTCCTATCACAGCCTCTGGCAGCGTACTGGTTACGAATCGGGCTGCAAACCTTAAGGTCAGCGGTTCGAAACTACCAGCTGCTCGGCGGGAGAAAGATGAGGCTTTCTACTCCCGTAAAGATTTACACCCTTGGAAACCCTGTACAGGGTCGCTATGGGACGGAACCGACTCGATGGCACTTAACAACAACAACAACCACAGCCTAGTGCTTTATAAGCCTCCTCTTGATGCTAACAGCTGAATGGTTTGGGAAGCAATTATATACACAGTTACACCACTTTTTGGGGGTAGCAAATTTCCAGAGCTCTTCTGTAAAGGCATGATGCTGATGCAGAGCTTCAGAACCTGGGCCAAGGCTCCATCACTTCCCAGCTATTCAGCCTTGGGTGAGCTTGTCAAACATCTAGGACGGTTTCCTTGTTTGGAGAAGGGAAGTAACAGTGTCTGTATTGTGGGGCTGCTGTGAGCATTCCTTAAAGCAGGTGAAGTGCTTGCTATTGTTACTACTTTGCTTATGAAGAAACAAACGTTCTTACATTCAATTGTTGCAGCTGAAGAACCACTACTGGATGTGTAAGACTCCAAGCTTACTTCACTGCAGGATGAAAGCAGCAAGCTCTGACAATCTCAGAAGGTGGATTTTTGTTTGTTTGTTTTGTCCAGAATCCAAGTTCTATTCAAAACCAAAGATACTCAGAGAATTGGGCAGAAGTTACTTACAGGTGGGACAGGGAGGTTACGTCTGCAAAGATGCCCTCTCGGAGGGTGGAGACGTCATTGCCATGGAGGGACCTGAGAAGAGAAGAGGCAGAGATGCAAGAACTGATGGGAGGACAGGCCAGCTCTCAGACAGACGGGGACTGGTGAGGTCTCTCCTTCAGATCTCTCACCTCCCAGCCAAGTCAGTGTTCTAGGCAAAGGGCCCAAGACCAGAGTCCTGCCTCACAGAAGGGATAATAACCCAATGACCCAGAGACACCGCCCTGTCCCTCAGCACTCTGCTTTTGCTATCATAAATAACTCTAGCATTTCCTTTATATAAAATGAAGTGTGTGCACTGTGTTCTTCCCTCAGTGCTCAGGGGAAGGAGGCTTCTTCTTAGTAAGGTGGTTAGTACAGCCAGCCAAAGGTTGAGCTGGAATAGGTCACCTTGTCCTAGTTGGGGCTGACAAAGGATTCATGCATGAATCCAGGAGAGGCATCAGAGAGGGTGGTGATCCCAAGGCAAAACTCTCCTAGTGGAAATTCTTAGAAAACATTAACAAATCTTTTGCCAACAAAATTCTCAGTCTGAACCAGAGCCTCATATACACATGAGGAGCAACCTTATTTTGGAACACCCTTCTCCCCTGCCACCTCTCCCCGCAAACACACACTCAGCAGATGCAACCTGGGAGAGACAGTAACCCCCATTTACTAAGTGTTTTCCCATTCATTCCATGGTTTCTTAAGGGACTTTAATGAAAATACTGGCCTCGCACCACAGGGCACAGCTCCGGCCCTGATAGGGCCCCAGGAATGGGAACATTTCTCTCCTTCAGACAGAAAGATGTTCCTGAGGAGTGATGCTGGAGGAGACTTACAGCAGGCGCAGGGAGCGGAGCCCCTGGAAGGCCAGCGGAGGGATGCACTGGAGGGCATTGTAGCTGAGGATCCTGCAGGAGGGAAGGAAGAGACCAGGGTCACTGGCCCAGGGTCACTGCTGGCAGGCAATGCAGCACAGCTAACCCCTCCACAGCCTTTCCTTACACTCCGAGGAGAGGCAGAGCTGTGTGGTGCAGGCTGGGACCTACTTCCTGCATTCTAGTCTCAACTCTGTACTTAATAAGAAGCCAGTGATCCTGAGCAGATCTCCTAATCTCTTTAAGCCCCAGTCAGTTCCCTCAACTGTAAGTAGTGACAGCAATAATGCCACTTTTATAGAATTCTTTTGTGGCTTGAATGAGACAGTCCAGCTGCTAGCACAGTACCTGGCCCTAACACAGCCTCATCGAGGAGACTGTTTTTACTGCGCTTGAGAGCGCTCCCCTAATGGAGGTGGCAGGATTCCCTGTGAAGTCAACACAGGGGTCAGTCCATCACTTCCAAACAACTGGTGAGGTGGGCACATATAACAATTTACCCTTCATGGGGCTGTGATGGTGAGGGAGCCGCTATTACTATTCCATTCCTATAGTCGAGGAGCTGGAGGCTCTGAGAGGTAAAAGGACTTCACCAGGGTCACAGTTGTTAAGCGGTTAAGGTGGGATCCTAAGTTTGTTTTTTCAGTTTCCAGAGTCTACAGGCTAAACTACTCTGCATAAATGCCTCCAAATAGATGGCTGCATGGAGGCAGGCAGATGGGTGACAAGGAAATAATGCTTGTAAGAGCCCCAACCTGGAAACAATCCAAATGTCCGTCAGCACATGAATGGATAAAAAAGATGTGGTAAAGTCATGTCATAAAATACAACACTGTAATTGTCAAATGCCGTCAAGTCAGTTTCGACTCATCGTTACCTGTACAAGGTTACTGAGGAGTGTGACTGGTGAGTGTGCACAGTGGCCTTGTGGTTAGCAGTCCAGTGCGTTCTCTACAGTGCAACACCAGGACTCCAATACTACACTACTCATTTATAAAAAAGAATAAAGTGCTGATACATGAGCCAACATGGATGAACCTCAAAATAATTACGCTCCATGAAGGAAGCCAGGGATGAGTAACCATGTTGCCAGGTTGCCATGGAGACTTTGAAAGAGGAACCAGTTGATTAGTAGATCCCTGGTGCAGGACCAGTAGAGTGAGAAGAGCAGAAGGGAGCATTCCATGGCCTCAGACCCACACTCTGCTCCTGGGGGGCTCACTGTGGCTTGGATCCTTCCTTTCTGAGGTATGGACTCTACTGCTTGACTGCATCGGAACTTTGGAAAAGTTCTTAACTTCTTAGCACATGATGTGTGAAATGGGGGATGGGATGAGATATTCTCTTAAGCATCAGGCAAATATAAGGGATGTGGTAATATTTTCTGATTGCTTGTTTAGTATAAAATTAAAGCAAGCATTAAACTATCTTAGACTATGGGCACAAAACTGTTCAGAGAATCATTACTCACAAAAGTCCAAACTAGAGACAACTCCAATATCCACCAATAGTAGAAGAGCTAAGGAAAGTATAGCATGTTCCGTTCTACATAGGAATGAAAACTAACAGACCATAGCTTCACACAATAACACAACGGGTCTCACAAATGTAATATTAAATAAAAGAAGACACACATAAAAGAATATATGACATGACTCAACTAATGCAAGATTCAAAACCAGACAAAATTAAACTATATTATTTAGAAATGTGTTTGTTAATGGTCACATTACAGGGAAAAAATCACAGAAATGATCATCATAAAAGCCAAAATAAGGACTTCCTGTGGGAAGAGGCAGATCAGAAAGGGACAGGAGGAGACATGTGGCTGCTAACAGCATGCTTTCTTTATTATTTTTTTAAAATTTATTTATGGCCTAGGAGCCAAGTATGATTATTTGTCCAACTTTGCATTTATATATTATTTGTAATTTTTCTGTATTATATTGCATTTCCCAATTTAAAATGCTTTTAAAAACTCTTTGCGAACTGCAGGTGTGGCATTCCCTGAGGGGCCGCAATGAGCAGCTGCTGGCTGGGGCTTAGAGAAAGTATGAGGCACCATCCATCTGCAGAGGCCCCGGCCACCTTGTCCCTCCCTCTCCCCTTGCTGGGACTCACAGAGTGGTCAGCTGGCTCATGTTGGTGAAGGAGGAATTGCTTAAGGAGCTGATCTTGTTGTTACTCAAGTCCCTAGAGAAGACAAGAAAGGCATTATCCTTTAGAAAGAGAACTCATCAACCATGTAAGAAGCACAGTCATGATTTGTTCAATGTAAAACTGATGATCTGCTCTACAAACCTTCACTCAATTCACAATAAAAAAAAAGTTAAAAAAAACCAACCTTCCACAAAAAAGAAAAACTGGGAGGAAGTGGGAAGAGTGCTGTTATAGTGTAAAGATTGCAATTCAAGTCACAAAACAAAATGTGTATGCATTGTTGAATGGAAAACCAATTTGCTCTGTAAACTTTCACCCAAATCAAAATATATAGTTAAAAAAACAACAAATTTCTAGAATAAAAAAAAAAAGAACTCAACCCTGACCCACTTTCATGGGTTGCATCTTCCTCTTCTCAACTTTATCATTCCCCACCCATCCACCCAAGTGGGCCAGAGGTTCCAACGGCCATCCTGGGGGCCAAGGCAGGATGAAAAGGAATTTGGTTCATGGTTACAGGTCTCACTCTGCTCCTGATCTCCAGCTGGATCCCGAGGAGTTCATGTTCCCATTTCTGCACCAACTACTAGCCCAGTGTGACTTTACACCATGGAAATCAACAGGGGCACCGGCTACCTCTCAGCTGCCAGACCTAGTGGGCTCCTCTCTGGCTAGCTCTCTATGGAATTATTAGTCCTCCATTCAATCCTATGCGGGAGATAGTAGCCCCATTTACAAGTGAAGACACAGAGTCAGAGTGATTAAATACCTCAGTGAGGACCACACAGCTGGACTCAAATCCCAGGCCATCTTTCCAAACCCCAGATCACCTTGATGAGTTCCCACCATACAGCATTTGGCATGGTTGACCACCCTTCCTGCTCCCCCAAACGCTTTCCTCAAGCCTTCCCCCTTCTCCTACGGCTTTGGCTGTGCCTCTCCAGTCTCTGGGTGAGTGATTCTTTCTAACTCAGTCCTTAGGCATGGGGATCATGCCCTTCCCCTGCTCTTTCTCTCTCTAATCTCTAATCCACTCTGGGTGCTCCTAGCTGCCCATACCACCATGGCCTGGGCACCCTCCTCTGCCCTCTCAGGAACACCTCCTCCTTGTCACATCTGGGGCGGCTCAAACTCAAGTGTCAATCAGCTGCTTCCCCATTCCTGCTCCCTGTGCAGGTTCCCTCTTACAGCTACCAACTCAGGCAACCAGAAACACAGCCCTGCCTACACTTCCTCTACCTCTATCTACACTGACTACACTCAAGCTTTAGGCCCCTGAGCCTCACATCTGTCCCCACCTCATAAGTCCCTGCTGCTGTCAACCCACCATTTCTCTTCTGGCTTCTACCTCAGACATCTCTCTAGATGCGGCTATGCCCCATTTCAAGCCATCTTCCTCATGGGTGGAAACCAATCCTTCTATGACACAAATCCAGCCAGTTCACTTCCCGATCAGGCCCAATGTCTGGCCATCTGGTCTGTCCCTGGCATCTCACTCCTATTGCATCTCCCAGGCCTTTAAGGCTTTGGTTTTACTGAAAATCCTAAGATCTTGTGTCATCCAACTCATAGTGACCCTGTAAGGGGTTTCCACTGCCCCACCCTAGTCTGCATCTCCCTCTGTTGGTGCATTTAGGCTCCCACTCCGCTCGCCTGTATCTCCTCTCCGAGACCACGATGCTCTTGGGAAGGCTCACGACTTAGGGGTGTCTTATCTACTTACTTAACACAGCTCTTGGTTCAACAGATGTTTATAAAATGAGTATCTTTTGTCTTCATTTTCTCTTAGTAAACTTTCCTCTAACTAATCACATTCAAAATCTTTCCATTGTTCTTAGAGAAACATTTAAGGACTGCATTTAGTGCTCAGTGCACTTTGTGGCCCTCCTTTTTGATGAAGACGAGATAGTATTTCAGCCCCCAAAAGGCAGTTTGCATAGTAAGTACTGGCCCAACATTAGTTCTCTTTCTTCTTCAAATGTATCCTAGCTGTAAGTGCTTTTTCTTATTGTTGTTAAGTGTCATGGAGACAGTTCCAACTGATCGTGGCCCTGTATAGGGTTTCCAATGAGCAGCTGGTGACTTTGAGCCACCAACCTTGCAGTTCAAACCAACCTTGAAGTCGAGTGTTTACCCTATGGCACCACACCAGGGGCATAAGTTCAGTTGCTTCAAATTAGACCAAAGAACATTCGAGGGAAGCTTATAGTATTAAGTCCCTCTCTTTGGTGCCTGGTTATCAGCCACTATGAAATCACTCTACCCACTACTGGAATATCCAAAACAAACTCACTAGGTCATTAGCAAAGATATTCACTGCAGCTTCAACATCCTCTAAGTCAGTGCTACTCAAAGTAGCCAGTCCTCGAATTGAACGTTACTGGTTCTCAACAAGATAAGGAACTTGGTGCCAGAACACAATCAGTATGTCACTAAGCACACAGGCTAATTCAGCTAACATTTTTTTTTTATACTAAGACTTTCTCTATGAAGGAAGTAGTATATTGATTTGTATTCTTGTGCAAGTTTCTTATCTAATTTTGGACCAATAACAAACCATTCGTGGACTTACATTATTCCACAGACCACACTTTAGGTAGTGTTCCAATCAACATTAGATGGAATGTTCTCTGAACTTCTTTTTGATAGAACCTGGTCAATCAGTAAAAACAATTGAGGTAACGAATTAGGCTGAAGACCAAGAGAAAATAAACTAGTTCTTAAGGCTTGTTTTTTGCCTTCTCATGGGGTACAAAGGAAGGGTCAAATG